TTCACCGAACTATTGTCGGTGTCGGTCCCTCCACACCCCGCTCCCCTCTTTAACCAGAGAGTTGAGACCCGAGCCCAGACCCGCCTGACAGCTTCCCTTCGGGGGATTCCCAAAGGCTGGTCCACCCGCAGCTCTGTCCAAGGTGGTTAGTGGAGCTTGGGGGTGGAAAGGGGAGAATTTAGTGAGTTTTTCATCATAACACGATTCAAGCCAAAGGATTGTCCTTGCTTCTGAGACTGTTTTTTGGAATTAACGTTTAACTTTTTGGAAATTCGTCTATTTTAATATTATTAGGACACATGCCTTGATTGCAGGCTCCATCCCCAGCCCTGGGCCGCCCACCAGTGGGAGGCAACCAATGGATGTGTCTCTTTCACATGGATGTTTCTGTCTCTCCCACACTCTCTGAAAAGCAATGGAAAAAACATCCTTGGCTGAGGATTTAAATATATATATATACACACACACACACACACACACACACACACACATCTATATCTATATATCTCTATAGGTTGGTGAGGGTAAAAGACGAGTATGCCTGTATCGCTTTAAGTGCATGAGTTTCCCATGACACCTTCACAAACCACTGCGTGCAAAATTCTGGATTAGGTAATCACTAGGGTTCCCTCTCCCCATAAAACTTTTTCCTATTTTTAAAAATGTTTGAACATTTTAATTGATTTTAATCTTTCTTTAGATAATATATTTACGTTTTTTAAAAAACAAAACAATTTTAGCCTGGCTGGCGTGGCTCAGTGGTTGAGCATCAATCTATGATCCAGGGGGTCATGGATCAATTCTTGGTCAGGGCACATGCCCGAGTTTTGGACTTGATCCCCTGTACGAGGCGTGCAGGAGGCAGCCGATCAATGACTCGTCATTGATGTTTCTCTCTCTCCCTCTCTTTGAAATCAATAAAAAAAAAAAATTAAAAACAATTTTAAAAGGTTTGCAGTGAGTCTTCCCNTTTGAAATCAATAAAAAAAAAAAAATTAAAAACAATTTTAAAAGGTTTGCAGTGAGTCTTCCCCCACATCATCTCTCTCTTACCCACTTCCCAACCCCAGTGCCCCCACACCCTCCCACACAAATGTAACCACTGTTAAGTTTCTTGTCTCTTTTCCAAGTTTCTTTATACACATATAAGCAAATGCAAGCACGTGCTCATATTTTATAGAAACGATCATTCCATATACTCTGTTCTGTTTTTTCATTTAATGACACAGCTTGGAGCTCCTTTCCAAATTTGCACAGAGAGTCCTCATTTTTTTCAGTGTTACATCATGTGGACAAACCATAATTTATTCAGCCAGTCTTCTATTGATGGTCATGAGGGCTGTCTCAATTCTTTGGCTATTTCAAACAGTGTCATGGTGAATAATCCTGTTTGTTTTCAAAATGTGATTAATTTGGACCTAGGCAAGGCTGGGTTGGTGCCCAGAAAGAACAGTGCAGTGCAGAGCCCACAACTGTCCTCATTGTGCTCAGAGGCCTTACTGGCTCCAAGACTGATCACATACTCATCAACAACCAATGGGGAAAACAGATCATTTCTAGAGCACCAGGGATGCACCATCGCAGGACACAATTTGAGGAGGTCACCAGATGTAGGGAAAATCCAACCCAGTTCTGCTAAGAGAATGACTTCGAGGAATTTCCAAGCCTGTTCAACTAAGGCAAGACTAATTACTGTAATTAGCTGACTGCACAATTAGAAGTGATTAAGCACAATACAAAACAGGCTCAGCTCCCCACCACTGGAAACATCCCTGCTCAGCCCATTAACAATATCCGCTTCTTTGCTCTCCATTTTCCTTAGCCTATGCTTACAGCATATGTCTGCCTTCTCAATAGGGTGTTAGTTTTTAGGTTGATTTCTTTTCAACACACTATAGCAAATAGAATTAGCCAACTATGCCAAATCATTGGCTTAATTTTTCTATTTCTCTATTGAGATTTAATTTATATTCAGTTAAAGGCATAGATCTTAAGTCTATATTTTTACAAATGAATAGATCATGTAACCAACACCCCAATTAAAATATAGAACAATTCTTTCCCTCCAAAAGTTCCTTCATGCCCCTCTTTCCAATCACCCCCTACCTTGCCCCAGGCAATGGTTCTAAATTGATTTTGTTAAGGAGGAATAACTGATTACATGACACAAATTGGGAAGTAGCACTCTCTAAGTCGAATATTAGTACATAATTCATTCTCTTGTCCTTAAATTCTCAAGTGTGTGTGGAAAGTCATCCCAGTTACGGAATACATATTTTACTTTGTTCTCCCTAAGACAGTCACTGTATACTTTTTAAAAACTTTTTTTTTTTTATATTCACTTACATTTACGAGTAATTTCCAGGTTTGGGCCCCAAGCCTGTAAACGAGAGAAGCAACAAACACACTGGAAGTTGGAAACCCTGAGTTGAGCCTATTTGTATGTCAATCTCTTACACCAATTCCTTCTGAGATATCCAGAAACGGGGTTAAGGGAATGAGGTTGTGAAGGGGACTTGAGAAAACCGAGGGGCTGCATGCCCAATAAAAGGGCCCTCTGCAGACATCAAGGCAGGTAGGAGAGCTGCAAGGAAAAGAAGTTTACTTATTGGTAAGGATGGACCAAGGGCACACACAAGACTCTATTTTGCCAGCGACCAAGGAAGTTAAAAGTCAATGTGAACTTTCAATAAAAGAGTACAGGAGGGCCTGGCTCCCTTGGGTGAAATAAGCAATTTCTGGAAGAAACTAAGAGGCACAGACCTACAAGTCTGGGAAGGGCAGAATGGCCCACTGGTGACTGAACTTTGGGTTTTATTTTCTTTGTGCCAAGAAAGGTGTCAGAAAGTCACTCTGGTTATGGTAAGATACTTCACATCATTTTCCCACCCAAGGACCCCAGGAGTGTGTGTGTGGTGAGGAAAAGGGTGCTCAGGGAGGCAGTCATAGGAGGGGGGGAAGATGGCTGTATTATTATAGGGCAGGTGTAGCCCAGAAGGAAAAGCTCCCTGCCTCCTGGTGCTGTTGCCCCCAGGGAAGGAAAAAGAACACGAGGTCTACATTCCCAAGGATACTCCAAACTGCCTCTTACCCAGAGTCCCTGGGCAGAGCTCTGAGGTCATGGTCCT